TATTCATAATAGGAGAAGAGGGTCGCTATTCATAATACGAAATGAGGGTCGCTATTCATAATAGGAGAAGAGGGTCGCTATTCATAATACGAAATGAGGGTCGCTATTCATAATACGAAATGAGGGTCGCTATTCATAAGAGGAGTAGAGGTTCGCTCTTCATAATACGGAATGAGGGTCGCTATTCATAATAGGAAATGATGGTCGCTATTCATCATAGGACTAGAGGTTCGCTGTTCATAATAAGGAAGGAGAGTCGCTATACATAATACGACTAGAGGTTCGCTATTCATAATACGAAATGAGGGTCGCTATTCATCATAGGACTAGAGGTTCGCTATTCATAATACGAAATGAGGGTCGCTATTCATAATACGGTATAAGGGTTGTTATTCATAAAAAAAAAGTAAATTAAATAAGCAATAAACATCAGTAGGCTAAATAATGGATAGGGGAAACCCCACGGCTGTAGCGTAGGCGGGAGGGGGCCATATGGCCCCGAATATTTGTAGAAAACATTTATTGAAAACATATTGAAAACATTTCTGAACAAAAGAAAAGAAAAGGGCGTGCCCCCCCCCATCAGTCCGACCATTCGGCCTACCCTCCCTGCAGTATTTCCGTGGTACAAGTACATATTACTGACAATTCTCGTCCAATTAGTTCATAGATGGCGTAGACTGTTTGTGTTTCACGGGGGGTGCGGTTGGGGGTAGCAGTGTTGCCATCAAGGGGTTGATCTATCATGTCCCTTACCTTCAGCAAAGGATGGAAGCGACAAAAAGGGGGTTGTAGGCAGGGGCGTCGCTAGACCTTTTTCAGTTTCAGGGGGGGGGGGTGAAGAGGCCACCGAATACCGACAAAAATAGCTACCATTTATATATTAACATATATATATATATATATATATATGTTAATGCCAATGTCCCAATGTCTACAAATTTAACCCTATAAATCCGGGGCCAGGAGCGAAATTATTTTCACCCGCCCCTTTCCCGTGCGAAGCGCGGAAGCTTTCACGTTCCATTAAAGTATTAGAAAAAGAAGACGATGAGTTGTACCGTTCACTACTCTTAATCTTTGTCTGAATTCATTTTTCCCCGTATAAGTGCCCTTCAAAGCTTATTTTGATCCCTCCCCTGTTGTTTTCTAGAACTTCCATGATGACCTAGTACATTGTATAATGCTTTACTTGCAGATGGTTTACCTAGTAAGACGCATGTGCTTGCTTACATTGAGGTCAACTCAGGTCTTACATATTGATGAGCTGTTTGAAATTAACTAGGAGGTATGCGCGTATTGGGGAATGTGGCTTGCTGCTCTACTTTTTTAAAAAAAACTTCCCACGACATGTAATGAGTGTTTAGTGTACATTATATGGGACGTACAGTGATAGATGGAAAGTTATTTCAGTATATTCAAAATGACTTTTAGGTAACTCCTTTTTCCTTCCACATCATCAACATTCATTCATTTTATTTCATCTACATTAGTTCATGAAATGCATTCGAAAAATGAAGAAAAAAAAAAAACGAAAATAACCCGTTAAAGCGCGGAAGCTTTAACGTTTCATTAAAATATTAGACAAAGAAGACGATTCATTCGGACGATTCGGGCGACTCTTAATCATTGTCTGAATTCTCAAAAATGTTTCTTTATCCGATAAAAAGTCACACTTCGTAGGGGAAATAAAATTACCGACATAATACATCTCACCGACTTCAAACTTCTACATAAATATAGTATACTAAGATCAAGCAAGAATACCGACACAGCAACAAAATTATCTATGCGTATCTTTCTTGCTCCCTCGACGTGGCGACTCCACCAAACATACCCCTCTCTCTCCTTCTCTTTAATCCCCTTTTTCTTTTGCTCCTTTTCTTTCTTTTTCCTCTTTTCCTTTCTTTCCTCTCCTTCGTCTTTGTCTTTTTTCTCTTTCTTTCTTCTCTTCTCTTTCCTTTCTTTCATTTATTTTCCTTTTCTTTCCCTTTCCCTCTCCTTTTTCCCCTCCCCCTTATCTCATTTTTCCCGACAGCAGCGCAATTTTACCGACAATATCTTGACAGGTGGGGTTGTCGCACCCCACATCCCCCTTAGCGACGCCCTTGGTTGTAGAGAGTTAGATTATATACAATATTCAAGCTTTTCGTAACTATATAATATTGCACGATTTTGTTTTTCTCCTCATAAGTAAGGAAGTAAGATTTTCAAGATTTAAAGTCAATTAAGATACGATTTTGCGACCGTAAAGCATTATGCAAACCGTGGCGTCCCCTTCATTATGTCTTTTTTTAAAGTAGGCCTATATTTTCTTTTAAGCTTTGATAATTTTTTAAAAATACATCCCCCTAATCTAGCTAAAATATTTCCCCCGCTCCAGTGGTGACAAAAAAGGGAAACATAACACACACATAATCCTATCGTAATTTGTCCCCCTTGTGCGAACCCCCCCCCCCCCCCCCCCCTCAACTGATAGTCAAACTTAAGAAAGTTTACTTTGGTGACAAGACCATATATATTATAAGGAAACCACCTCAGCCCCCCCCCCCTCCCCGAAAATAAATATTAAGGTCCGCTACCTGAATGTCCGAGTTGTCATCATAAAGGCGAAGGCGGCGGGTGTGGGGGAGGGGGGAGGGGGGAGGGGAGGTGAGCTTGAGGATGTTTCATGATTCAAATATTATTGATTTAAATTCTCAATCATGTTTACAACATTGGATAACAAATTTCAAACCTACTTAAAAACAAGACAAATATTTAGGGCCATGTATCGCCTTAGGGGTGTCCTCCGTCCAATATTTCCATTTGTTATGAGCATTTTGAATATTGCTTAGGCCTATTTCATTCTATGAATAAAAACCCTCATCCCGTATTATGAATAGCGACCCCCTACTCCTATTATGATTAGTAACCTTTTATGAATAGCGACCCTCATTTCGTATTATGAATAGCAACCCTCTACTCCTATTATGAATAGCTCTTCTTCTATTATGAATAGCGACCCTCTTCTCCTATTATGAATAGCGAACCTCATTTCGTATTATGAATAGCGACCCTCTTCTTCTATTATAAATAGCGACTCTCTTCTCCTATTATGAATAGCGAACCTCTTCTCCTATTATGAATAGCGACCCTCATTTCGTATTATGAATAGCGACCCTCATTTCTTATTATGAATAGCGACCCTCATTTCGTATTATGAATAGCAACGCTTTACTCCTATTATGAATAGCGACCCTCATTTCGTATTATGAATATCAACCCTCTACTCCTATTATGAATAGCGACCCTCTTCTTCTATTATGAATAGCAACCCTCTACTCCTATTATGAATAGCGACCCTCTTCTACTATTATGAATAGCGACCCTCTTCTCCTATTATGAATAGCGACCCTTTTTTCTATTATGAATAGCGACCCTCTAATCCTATTATGAATAGCGACCCTCATTTTGCATTGTGAATAGCGACCCTCATTTTGCATTATGAATAGCGACCCTCATTTCGTATTATGAATAGCGACCCTCATTTTGCATTATGAATAGCGACCCTCTTTCTGTGTTATGAATACCGACCCTTTTGTAATATTATGAATAGGGACCCTTATGAATAACGACCCCGATTTCGTATTATGAATAGCGACCCTTTTCTAATATTATGAATACCGACCCTCTTCTTTGATTATGAATAGCGGTACTTATGAACAACAACCCTTATGAATAATGACCCTTTTCTCCAATTATGAAAAGCGGACCTTATGAATAGCGGTCCTTATGAACAGTTGACCTTATGAATAGCGGTCCTTATGAATAGCGATATTGACCCTTACTATTAAGGTATAAAGCTTTCGGTTGAGTAGGCCTACTGCATGATAAACAATCCTAGACGTAATGCAAGCCTCAGAACCACCGCAAAAAACTATAAGATCATCGTAGTCTTATAGAAGGAAAAAAAATGAGCAAAACAATACCGAAACAAAAAACGACAACAAAAATACTCCAAAACCGCCGCATTCTATATATATTATAAGATCCTCCTGTGATCACATTTTCAAAGAAATGGCAATCATATTGGATATTGCAATGTAATTAAACACCATCTTCCTTGATATGGGTTCTAAATAATGATAGAATACTGATAAATCAGAATTCTAGTGCACTTAAATCTTGTAGTTAGAATAAAACCCGAATCAACTTCAAATCGTAGACAATCCTACTACTGACGTCACTGCGATACTGAGTCGATTTAGCTGGTCCCTTCCCAAGAAGTCTTGAAATCCTTTGAAATTTAGATTTTATTAATCTAATGACTTTTCAGATCATATTCCATGAAATATTTTACAAGAAAATTTATATCAAATGCTATTTCGAGGGAGTGTCGTGGCCGAGTGTATTAAGTCGCTTGACTGGAGATGTGAAGGTCGAGGGTTCGAGGCCGACACAGCACCCCGCCCCCCCCCCCCACTCAGAGGTCGGAATGACCGCATGCGTGTTGCCAAAAGGGGGGTCTCCAAGGCAGGAAAAGCCCGCGAAAAGCCCGCGAAAGGGGGTTCGGAAATGTTGGCAGTCCTCAGATAAGGGGTGCTTTCAAAAAGAGGGTACGAGCATATGCGTACACTAAATAACACTGAGTGGGGGGCCGGGCACAGCACTAATATCCTTTGGCAAGATATTAACCTGCACTTCCTACTCTCCACCCAGGTGTTAAATGGGTACCCGGTAGGATGTGACCGTCATTGTAACGCCTCGCTTGAATGCTCCCCAGGGAGTGGAGATTGTGCACAAAGTGTGTACGCGCAAGCATTTAATCCAATGAGCGGGGTAAACGTTTATCTGTATAGCTCTTGGAGACATGTAGTGTTCGGTGGGCTCTACATTCGATATGTAGGACTTTATTGTGAATTACGACAACTTATGATTAGCGTTAAACCATCTTAATGTCATTAAGATGTTTTGAATTTAATTTTTACCCTTTAACTTACTCTCCTTGCTCGAAACAGGTTTACGTCCACTGCTCAATCCTGATCTGTGACGACAACGACTCGGGCTCCCGCTGCGCTCAGGGGTGCATATCACGATCTCGTCGTAGTCTGAAGAATACAGGCTTCCAGTCCAAACTCCACACCATCACGAACGGACCGCTCTCTGATGCCTCCCGCTCCCAAAGGGCTATGTTGCTTGATAGCGTTTATGATTTGTAATGTTTCGCTTCGGCATGATTAATTGACCCAGGTTTTTCGGTCAAATGTTTGGAGGAATCTGCTTTGAGTGATTATATATCCCCTGCTTCAGTTATTGATCCCCTAATTTCAATTCATTGTTTCTTCTTCTTTTTGCCCGTAAAACTTAGATTTTGTGTGATAGCCAAACAAAAGTATATAAGAAACCTTTTATTAGAAATATGAAGCTTAAAACCAATGAATATATACCTCTATGAGTTTGTGTTCTATGCTTTCCCATAAATTTCTAGACTTAAGTTCTTTTTTCTTTTTTCATTTAATATCCGTAATGTTGTAGTCAATGAGAAATTTTAGACGGTGACATGTGCTTGTTTCATTATTTTGTGCACATAAAACTTTGATTTTGTGTGATAGCCAACCATAAATATAGAATTGAATCTAATTTAGCTTGAAGTAGGGAGCCTAAAATGAATGCATATACACCTGTATGAGTATGTGTTTTAAGCTATCCCATATAATTCTAGCAAGGTCTTCTCAAACGTAGATTTTTCTTCTTTTTTCTTCTTTCATTTAATATTCGTAATGTTTAACTCACGTATTCAGTTGCGTTCTTGTTCTATTGTCTATATTAATAATGGCACAATCTCTCTACATTGTTGCTCCTTATCACAGAAGAAAAATAATTCATTTGCTCTTTTTGTTGGTATTAGTAGTGCGTAGGACCAGTGGCGTACGCAGGATTTTTTCAAGGAGGGGGTTTTAAAATCGGGCCAAAAATTCGAAGAAATACGAAGCCTAAATTTTTTTGGGGGGGTCAAAAAAAAAAATCGCAACGACTCAGCCAGCCGCTGAATAAGCGGGGGGGGGGGGGGGGGGGGGAGGGGTTTTTTTGTTTTGTTTTTGTCTCGAAATTTGAAAATTTGACATTTTGTTCCGTTGGGGTGGGGGGTAAGGTCACCTTTTTTAGGTCAGCCATTGGCTTAATTTTGTTTTTTTTAAATAAAAAAAAAAATCTAAAGGGGGAGGGGGGTTCACAAAAAAATACACAAAACATACACATACAAAAAACTCAAACTTAACCCTGCGTACACGCCTGCGTATGACTATAAATGTCACAATTTTGGTCTTTCTTGTTTTGTTTTGCTTCTGTTAAGTATAACTCGATCGCAAAGAATTTCGAGAAATTAACTCAATATCGCCTTTCGAGATCACGTTCAGAGTTCGTAATAATGTCATTGTAATGTTCACAAACTCTAAGGTGACGCTCAGGGCTATTGAAATCGCTCTAGGTTGATTTCTCGAAAGTCTTTGCGCTCGTGTTGCATGTAGATCTTTCAGCTATAGAGATTGAAGGTAAAATGATTCGCCTTTTGATATGTGTTTACTTCGGTGCAATATGATGGGTTCTATTTTTCTCACCATTATCTGACGTCAAGTCTATCTTTTTTTGTCAACTCGCATTGGAATCGAAAAGAAAATGAATATGTTATCAAACATGTAATGTATTTTAAGATTATTCATGAACAAAGATGTCTTCCATTCACCTAGTGATAAAATCCATCTGATAATTATGTCTCGCTAAGCTCGTGTCTTAAGCATAGGCCTACTCTCACCATAATACTGGTTTGTACTTCATTATCTTTTTAGTCAACATCGAATAATTCATGTCGAGAAACCTTGGTTTTATTACTGTGCCTCCAAAACCTAAGGTGACAATATTTAAGCATCATATTTTTGGCTATTGATCTATTCATCAACTGTTATTATTACCACACTATTTCTTTGGCCGGTATTTTTTAATGTGACCTAACATTTAACCGTGGTTAAAAAATTTCCCAGTTGAACACCTACACTGATTTTTGGATTGGCAATCTCTTCATCCCGTACTATTGTTCAACCAAATTATTGACATAAAAAACAGCTATCGTGCAATAAGTCATCCTTTTGCCTATACCTAAGTCTAAATGCATGAATTCGTTTTGTCACACAGTAGATAATGTATACACAATGGAGAAATATATTCTTTGTGCTCCCTTCATCGGGGGACTACTCCATTTAAAGCAGAGGAGTGGAAATCCATTCTTTTTTTAGTCATATCAGCGATCACTGCATTAAGAGTTGAATCCACTCCGAAATGTAAAGGAGTCTACTCCAATGTAGTGGTTTGTAGTACTCTATTGAGAGTGAATTCAACTACTCTAAATGGATTTTCACTGCTGTATCTAGAGAGTATTAAGTTAGGTCATGATTTAATTTGGCCCCCTTTCAAGAACAAGACCTTTATGTTGAGAAGTGTGTTTTTCTTCGTTCGATTGGCTATATTTTCTGAAAAATCTTCACTTATTGCATAACTAAATGTTTCACCATTCATTTTACTTAATACATATTTAAATGTATTTATTACTTTACATTCCTTACCTGATTTCTAGGTTACTTTAAACCAATTATAAAATACCTTGTCCACCTTACTTCCTCTCAAAGTATGTACTAAGGCGTAGTTATTGGCTCATTAAATAATATTCTGCATTAATCTGTCGCATGTCTTTGTTAATTTATGTACTTGTAGCAGACTCCCCCACCCCTTCCCCTGTCTCTCTTTCTCTCTCTTGATCTACTTCATTCTCAAGCTCCTCCCCTTTCTCTCTCAACCATCATTTCCATATGTTTCCTTCTACACATCTTTTACTGCAAATTGCTTTCTCCCCCTCTATCCCTCTCTCTCTCTCTCTCACCTTCTCTCTCTCCCTCTCTCTATCACACATACACTCAAACACCCGCACACAAAGATACACAGACATTGCCACTTTCTACCTCCTTAATTTGTCAAACGCATTTTCACTCTCCTTCCGATCTTTCTGTCTGTTTTCTGTCTCTTTTACTTTCACCTTTATACGGAAACGTCAGACGAAAATGATAAAAAAAAAACTGTGTAGATAGGAGTGTGATGAGAGAGAAAGTTTAAGATTAAAGACTGATCAGTCCGTGCAGTACAATACTCCGTTTTCAAACTACAAAGTAATTACGCACATATTGATCAAGAAATAACACACCAGTATAATAATTGTTCATTTCTTCTGTAACGTAGCTGCTTCATGTATCAGAATACATGGAGAGTTCTGCGAAATATTCAGTTTTAAAGTGATATCTGTTTGTCCGTGGTTCTGGATAAAGTAGGTAAAATGAAAATGTAGCACTGTCCTTTATTAATCATTGGCCCCCATCTACTTATATATATATATATATATCAAGTTTGTTTATTTATTTCATTTTCATTAAAACACAGCAAATGCAAATAAACATACAAGTATATATATATACATACAAGGAATGGTCAGTTATCACAATGGTTTAAAATGAAATTGGAAAACTAAGGAAAAGCCCAAGTTGGCTTTGTATAAAAAGTTCCCCGAATATTATAATTTATGTTATTTATATTATTTAGCATATATGAGTTAAAAATATCACAAAATACAAGGATAAACACAATAAAAAGACAAAAAAAACTACAAAAACATGTATAAACTAATTTAAAATTGGAGGAGGGGGGGGGGCGAAAAGGTTTGGAAGGTAATTTTAACGATACTCAGAATAAAAGGTCAGTTTCATTTTTTGTTTAAATATTGAGCTGTTTTTATATAAGTGTTCCATATGTTTGGCAAAGTATTTCTTACAGATTTTTTTTTTTTTTTAGAGAATGAACTTTTTATTTTCCATAAATGAAACGTGTTGCAAAGCCGAGTGTATATGTGTATGTTTTGGTATGATAATCTTCATCAGGCTATTCACTTTGATTGTTCGTTCTTTGGACAGAAGAAAGACGGACAGAGACAGATAGAACAGGCAGTGTCTTGTGAGACGTTCTCATTCACGGCACATTCGATCGTTTAGCATCGTCGGTGACCTTCATTCAACCAGTCAATAATCTCCTGAATATACTAGATGCTTTCAAGCTTTAGAACAGGCTCCTTCCTCAATTGAAATCATCATCAACAAGAGAACAATTCAAACAGAGTTTGAAGACATATCTATTCTGAAACCATACGCATTCACTAAACTCACACTGTCACTGCTTGGATGGCATCTCACAGTGCTATAGAGGCGCTATGTTACTTGCAATTATATACCTCTTTTTAGAAATCTAGCCATCTGATTGGTCGAAATTGGAGTTGTGATTTTAGCCATGCCCCGCCTACCAGTCAATAGTCTTCTGAAAAGTGCCCTCATACTGCAATCCTCATTGAAACTTTCAGTTATTTTTCCAGCAAAGATTAACAGACAGTGTCTCAGATTTTCTGTGATGTTTTATCCAATCTTTACTCAAGAAAAAGGATAAGGTAGGAATTCTTGGTAGATTTTTGTGTCAATTCGATATATAAAAGAGTTATCGACTGCTTTAATATTCGAGGACTGGCTGTTTCTATACTGGCTCGCCTCGGGGTGATAGCTGCGGATGCAACTTCACCTTAAGCGTATAAAAACATCCAGTCCTCTCGTAGCAGTCGATATCTGTTCTTATTATAAAAGGAAACTCAGTTGTTGGATTTAAAAGTACCTCTAAACCATCCACAAATTAAGCTTGGTTACAAATAAAAAGCTTTTAATCAAAATCTGGTGTACTTTTTATTTACTTAATACATGTCTGTCATAGGTTCAGTCAACACTATTTAAGATATATATAAAAGTATCGTGGTATAAATTTGGACTGCATTATGTCATATACTGAGTGTTGCACATATTCAATGCACCTGGCAATAAACTCGACTTTCAAAAAAAATAACGATAAATTTTCAAGTGAAGTGGACATATAATAGTAGAATCGTATACACTCTGGGTAATTTCATAGTAACAGAATGACGCAAAACACTTATTTCCTCAACACCAAAATCTGTTTTCCTGAAATAAAAGGTTACGAACAAAAAAAATATGATTACATAGCCATTATCTGACTCATCATTGAATGATTCATCTTTACAGCTGACATATTTTTTAAATTATGATATTTACTATTTGTGGTAATGGATTGACACGAAGATGTTTTTCTATAAATACACATAATAATCATCTTAACAAATAAATTTCTCTTTATTGATATAATTTTCAATATTCAAATCGACATTT